GATATATATATAAGCCAATACTACAATGACCACCTTTATGTATCAAGCACCCTGACAAGATGGAGAAATGGAGGAGAAGGGATTGCAGTGTAACCATACCCCATTAGGGAGTGTTTTCTCCTTCTCCCTCACTCTCTGTCTCTCTTTGGGGAGCTCAAGCATCTAGTCGCAAATTAAGACCAGCCAAGCAACAAACTAGTAGAACGATGAACAACTGTGGATATCATACTCTAATGTTCAACACTGAAGAACATGTATGTGTGGATAGCCTCGATTGAATTGCTATACACTGTGTGCATGCCTTAACAAACCATACCGTAGCCCACAAAGATACCCATCGATTATATGTAAACCAGAAATAACAATCTTTTAAGAATAACAATAGCAAAACAAAACAAAACTCACCAGCCTTACTAGCAGAAAACGTCCTGCTGTCTGGGAGTGGGCAGGACACACGTTTAAGTACCAGCTGGGGTTTCCTACAGCGCACCAGCCAGTAGGGGAACAAGGTTTGCAACCCCAGTACAGCCCATTACCAACTCTTGTGAACAGTGGAGAGGGGAGGGAGGAGGGCGTGCAGAACACTGCGGCGTATAGAGCCCCCAGTAACATGAATGAAGTAAGCGGATGAAGTGGAGACAATGAAATAATTCACTGTCCTCTTTACTACAGGGGGAAAAAGAGGACATAGTTAATGACAAACGGTCTTGGAGACATTGACAAAACGGGAGGGGGGGGTGCCAGCAGGTGGCATAGTGGTTGAAGCTCTGGACTCTCATATGACCAACCATGTTTGAGTCCCAGTCCTGACAGCCTGAAACTCACAACGGGCATGTGTGCACGCAGGCCCCAAATGCCCGGAGGAGAATAGAGAAGGGATTGCTGCGTGGCCATCCTCCCTGGGAGTGATTTCTCACGGTCCCTCTCACTGTCTCTCTGTCTCTAAATTGAGGGCATGTGCCCTATGGCAAAAACATTCAAAAGAATGAAAGAAAGAACAGAGAAAGGGAGAGGAGGAGGGAGGGAGAGAGGGAGGGAAGGAGGGATGAGAGGGCTTACACTGGCTTGGACTCCAGCCCTTCCTAAGAGGTCAGGGCTTCTCCCATGCATCCAGAAGGCCAAACTCCCATTCACCCGATTTCTGTGCAAACTCTTCCAAGCTTATACAAGTACTTTAAAATGTTAAACTACTAAATCAGAGCCCTGTGAACACTTGAGGTCCACTGGGTTCCAGGCTACCAGTCTGACATCCCTCCATGTGAGTGGGTTTGCTGATTTTTCTCAGGGGGCTGGCGTTTTACTCAAGCACTAGGGTAGAGGTGAGGCCCTGGGGTCAGGGGTTTCTGTGGAGCTGCCTCTGGCTGGCGCGAGGGTAAGCGTGGGTGAGGGAAGGGTGAGGGAAGGGCGCGTGCTCATCCTTGAGTTCAGGAAGAACGCCTGTGTGTGTGGTCAGGTGACTGTGTCTGACCTGCCCAGGTGGAGCGCTGAGAGGTTAGGAAATGTCAGGTGGAACTGAAGGCTTCTGTGTTCTCCCCCGTTGGAGGCCACGAGTCACTTCCCTAAGATCAGACCAGCCCGGGGTAGGGGAGTAAGGACAGTGGGGTGGACACGGGTCTGATTCTAATGCCTTGTCTAGAAGGCGGGAAGGCAGGATTCAGCCCCAAGGCTGGACCTTACTCCAGCAGCAGAGCGTGAGATCCTGGCGGTGCAGAGAAACGACTGCAGGGCTGCTGGCCCGCAGACCCCCTGGAGCTGTTGCCATGGCCACAGGGGACTTTGGCAGTGGAGCGCGGTGAGCCCCCTCCACTCCCTTTCTCCGCTCGCTCGCCTTCGGGATGACGTCACGAACGTCCGTGGCCCTGACAGGCCACCTGTGGGTTGGTCTCAGCTTTAAAGCAGCTGTTCTCTCCCGGTCCCGCAGCAGCCGTGGCGACAGTGCCTGCGCCGGGAGGGACAAGCCTGGCAGGACAGACGGCCCGAGACAGGCAGGTACGCAAACGGTCCCAGCAGTCTGGCTGCCTCATCTGCACCCTGCGAGCCTCCTCTGCAGCTCTTGAGGTGGAAGCGCTGCGCCGGCAGCACAGTGCTGGGGGCTTTCGTCTAGAACGAAGCAAGAGCAAGCAGTCTTCCTCCCTGGCCGTGGAGACCCATCCTGGTAAAGTCTCAGTGAAGGGCCCCATTTTGTGGGCTCCCCCAGACGGAGGGCTCAGGATTGGAGGGGCAGCCGAGTGGAGCTGAGGTTCGGGAGGCTGGGGGAGGGGGGCACCCGGAGGGCTGGGGGAAGGGCTGCAGGTTCGTGTCCCCAAGAATGCGGTGCCATAGCCACCCAGGAGAGGAGGGAAGGCGGGAGTGTGGCGCTCCTTCCCGCGCTGGGCTGGTTCGAGTTGTGGGGGTGTCCATTTCCCATCTTCACCCGCTTACAAGGCCGAAACCGGCTTGCAGTCAGCCTCTTTTGGTCCTACGCAACTTGCGAGTCCGGGCGACCCCACCACCTCGAGAAAGCGCGCTCCCACCGCCGCGCGGCTCCAAGCCCGCCGCCCGCTTCCCTCCTTGGCTGCTCGGCTTCCAGATACACTCGACTTGTTGCATACAGAAAAGCGGACAGGTTCGGAGTTCCTAGCCTCGCTTCCCTGCTTTGCCCGCCACTGCCCGCCACAAGATTCGAGTTCAGGAGTCCCAGAACGCTGCGTGAGAACACGCAGAGCGCATCGAGCCAAAGGGGACAGCTGTCGAAGTGTTGGGGCCCAGTGAGGAATCCTTCCAGGGGAAAAGGTCTTTCCTTTGCCCTCACGACAAATAATCCCAGGGAAGGGAATACAGGGTGCAAGGGGTTGCACCCAGGGGACCTCCCTGGTGGAAAAGCGCATCTAGTCCCCCTTTTCCACCTGGCGGATCGAGCACCTCCCCTTGGGGTCCCTACCTGGGACACAGAAGTAAACTCCCGAAGGGCCCTGGGAGCCCGTCTCGGCGGATCAGAGCCGCCAGCTTCAGCACCAGAGGCCGGACAGCGCCCTGCCCACAGGCTGCCCTGGGTCGGTGCCCGGTGTCCGACTGCGCGTAGGCGGCCCGGCCTCGGCCTCCAGGTCCCAAGACGCCCTTGCTCCAAATCCCCAAGACTCCACACGGAGGAGCCAGGAGGTGAGACAGGGCAGCCGAGGCAGGAGGGACTCGTCTTCCCCACTTCTCCTCCAGGGGTTTAGGACGTCGGATTCTAAGAGGACGTTCACCCTTCGCTTCACCCACTGGATACAACCTGGCGCCACGTGCAGGCAGAGGGCCCGGAGCAGAGGCGCACCTCCGAGCGGTGGGTATGGGGCAAGCCGGACAGAGGTCCCCTGGGAGCCCTGGCAGGTGTTACAGAGGTCTCCTGGGAGCCCGGGCAGGTGTTCCTGCAAAGTCCCCGAGGCTACTCCACGAGTAGCGCGTGCGCTCTCTCCCTCCGTCCTCTTTCC